AAAATATCTTTGGGCATTTTCAGGAGAATGCCAAAATAGCTCCGTTCATAATTCTATGGTATTAAAGCGTGTTATAGAAAACCATAATAGAATGAAAATCTAAAATGCGTTGCGTTTTAGGATGATTTTTAGGAAATTCTTGGGAACATTTTGAAGAAATCCTTAGAAAAGATCCAAGAGAATTTCCAATACATAATAATGATGATGATGATGATGATGATGATGATGATGAAGATTTTTTTTTTCTTTTTTCCTTTATTAGAGAGATTTTTAGTCTAAGGCTAGTTCATCTCTTTTAAAAATTACAAAAAAGAATTGGGACCTCAAAAGGAGGATCCCAATCTTGGCAAGTGGGCATTTAGCTTAATTATATAAAATATTGTAAAAACACTACCAAAAGGGCCAACGAATTCAAAAGCACAAAGAGAAAACACTCAAATGTTGTAAAAAAGATTCGCCTCCTTCAGGAAGGCGATGAGGGCGTCTGCTGCCGGGGACTCGTCGCCAAGCAGACTTCGTATGCTGGTTCCCTCCAGACCGAAGGCAACCCGAAGGTCCTTGAGCTCCACACAGTTGATGAGGATGTGTTCTACGGAGGCTGGCACTCCGCAGGTTTCGCAGGTTCTCCGGAACGGTGCTCCTCCGAAATTATGGGCGGCCCTGCTATGCCCGGTGCGCAGCCTGGACACCACTTGCTGCTCCTTGAGGCTCGGTCGATCCTTCCAGGTCGCCTTGATTTTTCGTAGTTGGTGAGTTCGATTGTTCCTCCACTCGTTGTCCCACGCTCTCCGAACCGTCCACTTGATCCATTTATTGATGTCCGGGAACGGAACATTGTCAGAGAACCTGGGTTCGATGGGGCCTGAGCCGGCGAGGTGGTCGGCGATCACGTTCCCCTGGATGCCACAGTGCCCGGGTACCCACATGTATATGGTGTTGTGCGGCGCATGCGTTACCGTCCCTTGCATCCACGGATGCTTTGGTGCTTCATCGGTTAGGGCCATTATTGCGCTTTGTGAGTCGGTAACGATGAGGATCGGCCGATTGGCTGGAAGGGTGGTTGCGTGAAAGACGGCCGCTGCCTCAGCGGAAAACACCGAGCACTGGGCCGCAAGTGAATTGCTGACGACCAAACTATCTCCTGAAACCCCTATTCCCACTCCGCTGCTGGAGAGCGAGCCATCGGTGTACCTGATTTCGTGATCTTGATAGTGCACCCCGAGAGTTTCGACGACTGTCCGGCGCAAAGCCAGTGAGTTGTCTCCTACCCTGAAGCGGTCCTTGATTCGGCTGTCGATTCTGATCTGATGTGATTGCCAACTTTTGTCTCCGTGCCAGTGGACCCTGGCCACTGGAGGGAGATCTACGTCGGCGACCGTGCGGAGGAGTCGGTTCGCCTCGTCGAGGAGAAAGATCCTGCTGTTTCCCGACGTTTTAGCGAGGAAGGCAGCGGCTTTGGTAGCGGTAGCTGCGGTGTAGACGAGCCGAAAAGGCAGAATACCGGCTTCAACGCACGCGGCGTCGGCCGGGGTGGAGGGCAGGAGACCGGAGACTGTTCTTACGTATCCGTTGTAGACCGGTTCCAAGATTTGGACGGCTTTCTTGGCGGCAAGGCACGTTAGTTCTACGCCGTACAATAGGCGACTGTCGATGATGGCTCGGGCTACTCGGAAGCGGATTTCACGGTTGTTGGATCGGTGGGGGCGGAAGATGGTCTTCATCAGGTTGGATCGACTACGACAGTCCTTCTTCACCTGTTGGAAGTGCGGCTCGAGGGATAGGTTCCGATCGAGGAGCACTCCCAGGACCCTTATTGTGTTTTTGGTCGGTATCGCTTGCTGTTTGATCATGATGGGCTGTCCGTTGTTCCGATGATGATGATGATGATGATGATGATGATGATGATGATGATGATGATGATGATGATGATGAGGATGATGATGAGGATGATGCCATGATGATGAGGATGATGCCATGATGATCATTGTAGAACGTTAACTATAGTCCGATAACTGTGGGCTCTCCTCGCTGCCGAACTTGATCAAGCTTAATAAAGTCTGATTGTCATCAGCAAATTGCTGTATAAAGGGCCAAAAACGAATGGATGGATTGATAGGCAATTCACATATTCAATTCCTTGGGACAGTTAAGATTCTACTTCCAACAACTTGATCAGAAATGAGCCATCCAACAGAAAGATGCCCCAATTAATAGGGAGAAGAGCCCGCCCTTTATCCGCCCATCTTCACTCTCCCCATCCAAATCGCTTCAATTGGGTGCCCTGATGGTCCCTCCTCATCCTGATTGTTTTATGATCGCGTTTATAAATTTATTTTATGATGGCAATTATAAATGCCATTTATGCCTTCTCCTGCTTGAGAAAAAAAAAACCCACATTATACCAGTGGAAGGGGGGGGGGGTTGGTATTCATAAATGTGTTATGTTTGGTTATATGGAGGAGGGCTGTAAATAAGTAGAATCAATTATAATTATTAAATTGGTGCTGTGCCTATTGATTTTTTGTTCAGTTTGATTTGCAATTGAATACTCAGCTAGGGGACGCTTGATCTCCTAAGGATTGCACACTCTTAAACCTGATATATGAGTGTGAAAGAATAAAACTCTGTTTGAGAATACCTGAATCCACAGAATTTTTGCGGGTTGTGTTTGCTTACAACAATCCTTGATGTAATAATTCAGAGCAAGTTTAGTCCGGGAGTTAGAAAGCGATAGCTCTACTGCAGATCCAGCAACCCATTTCAGAATGCCTGATAATTCACGTCCATTCCTAGGGTACTTTCACATACAATATGCCCCGCATGTAAACACTACCGTTATCATATGAATAATGGTACTGCAAACACACTTCCAGATTTCGAAATGTGATGTTTTGAAATCTGGCGCGTATTTAGTAATATATGAAAATATGCATTTATGATTGATTTATAACCAGATGGATCTCACCAAATTCTGCCTCCGAAAAAAAACCGGTTTGTTCACTCGCGGTAATCGAAAAAATATTCTACGTTGTTTTTACAACCGAACACAACATTTTTAATCACATGCGAAGTTTTTCATTTGCACTGAATTTTTGCCTAACACCTCATTCGCGTGCATCCTCCAGAAGGCAGAACGCCAGAACCAAGAAAAGAAAAGAAAACCCGGTAAAACTCTTCTTGGGAAGGAGGCAAAGCACCAAAAACAAGCGAAAAGAAAAACCGACCAACGCGACAAAACAGCAACACAGCTCTCACAGAATTTTCGCGGGTTGTGTGTAAAAATTAGTATTGAAAAAAAAACAGTAATGGTCCGATTTTGATAGCCCCTCCGCACAGTATCATTCAGAACTTTTATCTTTCAATAATTTCACATAACCGTAATACCTAATCTTTCTCATTCATTTTCAAGATGTATGTTTAAGGTATACTTTGCTGCAGTTAGACCACTGAAGCCCCGTAGCGTGGGTAGATCACTTTTTCGTGGTACGTTACGAGACGTAAGATCTACCACCCATTCCTAGTCTTGACTACTTCAAACTAGGGGAACATGATTTTTCAGTAATCAAAGGAACACATCTTAGTTCTTGTTACTGTTTATGCCTTGTTGATATTGATAAGTCCTCGAGTTGCCTGGACCGAGGATGATCTTGAAACGAGGTAAAAATGAGTTAGTTAGTCTTCACCTATGTGATTCCTAATCTTCTATTCGTTGTTCCCTAGTTTGAAGTGATTAAGACTAGGGTTCTGATGCATGGTTATTATCGGTGTCATTCCTTAATTTTGTTGCTAATGAATCCGATTTGGCTGAAAAAAGGAGCGCGCCTTTGGAGGGTGTTTCAACACTCCGAAGGGTGTAAATATCGGGACCTTTCAATTAGAATCGATTCCTTGCGATGAAGGCAAGAATGACAACTGTATCAAAACCGAATACTTCATCATTTCTCAATAGTGATGGAGTAATAAGACATGCACTAAACTAAGGACACGGGATATACTACAATAGATCAAATTACTGGTCGCAATGGTTTTATGTCCCGAACAGAGGGGAAAAAAAAACCTCTGAAAAAGCGCATGGGTTTTGTAGAACATTAGAAAATAGTTTCAAAAAGAGGGCTGACAAAATCGGGTCATTACTGTATCATAAAAAGGGGATCAATTATCCCCGAACTCTTAAAACTGCGTTTCCTTGCTTATTTAATAAAAACGTACAGATCACGTCAGAAGCTCGAGAGATTTTGAAAAAAAAAACAAAACATATTAACAGTCCCTGAGCCCCTGTCTTACAAAAACTGCATGTCATGAAAAAGGGATCTACCCCATTTTTTCAAATTGCGTTTTTAGAAATCATTCAGAAAAATGGTAGTTTTGGAAATTATTACATCATTTTGGAGCCTTTTGATTATCTATAAACTTACAAGAGATATATCCCTGCGAGTCTCTGCGGGGATCAAATGTGTCCATTCTCCCCTACATTTATAGAGGATGTATGAAATTATAAACCCCTTATTGGAGCTTGTTAGAATGGAAGTAGACGATCCCAATACTGTCCCCCGCATTGAGCGTAAAACATCGAAAACTTTTATGCAAGATCTACCCCAACTAGCAGCATATCAGCAGTTTAGGCACGAACACACCTCAGTGGCCTCCGGTATGGGCAATCTCGATCGGACCCTCCTACATGTGTGTATAGGTATCAAAATGAGAGCCCGTCGTTTTCCCCGTGTCTCCACAGCATGCGCGGGAGAGCGCGAGCGAATGATCCCCTAAAATAATAGCCTCCATACCACCGTACGGACCGCGGCGGCACCAGGCGCAGAACCCATTGCAGCTCCGTCCACAACCCGTTTGTTCATCCATCCGCGCACGCTCTCTGGGCACCTCTGCTGCTGGGCCACTGGCTCGCTCTGTGTGTGCGCTCGCCTAGGGAACATGTTGTTTTAGCCTCTCCTGTTGGGTTCTTTAGTCTTTTAAATGTATCGCTGGGGTATTGACGTGTAAGGCCATTTCGTGTTTTTGTGCGGACGGTTATATTTTTTTTTGTCTTTCCACCACACAGTGTGACTCTCTATCCGTGGCTCTCGAAATTAGTGAATCAATAATAAGAAAAAGTGATTTTATTGATCGCGGTCTTAGGTGACCAGTTTGATTTATGTGCAAATTAACATCAACTGATATCGTTCACCCCGTCGTCGTCGTCGTCGTCCTCGTTGTGCATTGGACCGCTGCTCCCTGTCGAAGCGAAGAAGACAACGGCCGAAGAAAACGGCGAGCAATCCGCGATAGACTTTCTTTTTTCCCTTTGCGCCCAGAACAAGTTCTTTTGCATTGCTTATTTCTTGTTTCGTTGTTTCCTGTATTTGTGTTGTGTTGTTTTTTTTTTTGCCAACTTAGAAAGTAAAATAATTGGTTGCATCGTTTTCGATTTCGGTCCCCGCGAAGACGCAAAGATAGTTCCGGAGAATCGAAAGTAGTCCATTGTGACGGAACAGGAGAAACAAAGACAGCATCATCAATAGCCGAGAGGAGGAAACTAAACTAATTAGTGAAGAGTGGCAGAAAACACACATAATCGATTTTCGATCATTTCTATATAACCTCTGTTCAACCTCCCATGTGTGGGGTCCTTGAAGACAAAGAAGCTTTCACACATTGAAATTTGTTCGGTAATGCGATTGTGAATGGGTCAATTTGGGATAATCTGCACCGTGCAAAATGCACCTACTTATACACAGCAAATAGCCCGTTTAGATCTGCGGAGCGACCATTGAGATACCCATTCGAAGTACACCGCTCTATGACGTATTGTTTTTCCTTGGTCCCCCCTGGTTGGCTGACTTCGGCGCGAGGGCCTTCAACTCATTCTCACACATTTTGTATATGAGGCTCTTCTTCGGCCCTACTGTATATTGTACCTACATGTGCAAAAAATAAAACAGCAACCAGGCACACCAATCTCGCCTCGCTCGCTGCATACACTTATACCACAAACGATGAACCCATAGCCGACCGATCCGGGCAAAGTCAGGCACAAAGCAGCTCACGGGCTGACTCGCACGGTGTGATGCAGAGTGAAAAGCACATAACTTATGCCGTGGATGCTGTAAATCTCGCTCGGTCTGTTGCGGCTGCCGCTGATGCTCAGATGCTGCTGCTGCTGCTGTTGCTGCTGCTGCTGCTGCTGTTGTTGTTGTTGATGTTACACAGCTAGCAGAGGTCTCAACTGGAACCCGAGCGCCCGCTTGAGAACAAAGAGAGCCCGAGAGGGAGCGGAAGAGATGTAGTGAAAACTTTCTTGATGTACACACTTATGCAAAAATGTCAATACTTGCAAATAAATAAAAAGAAAAACAGCAGCAGCAACAAAATCAACAACAACAACAACAACAGTAAGCAGCGCAACAGGGCCAAGCAGGGGGAAAAAGTATCAATAAAAATGAAGTGACCATCTGCAGCCGCAGAGAAATAAAATTATACTCACACACTCGCCATCGCGGTCGACGGAACAGACGACGACGACAGCAAGCGAGCGAGCGGTGAGTGTGTGCCAATGCCATGTTTTTTATTCGCGATCGTGTGCACTGCTCACATTTTGTGTATGACTCGATCCATTTTTGCAACGTCCAGATGATTCTGAATGTTTGCGAAATCTTTGGCAAAGTTCTTTTGATTGAAACTTTGGGGGCTTTCAAGTTTATGGAATTGCTTACAAACTAACTTGAACAGCAAATCAATACAAAGATTCAATAAATATTTTTTCTCAAGAAAATTGCCTTACAAATTTAGCTTTGAACTTTGTACATCCGATACACAAAGATGCATACCAGAACTGTAATGCTGTGGTGAACAAGCAATTTTTTCAAAAGTTATTTTGTTGCTGTACAAAACCTTCATTAAAATATAGGCTTCCAGGGTGATTCGGAGTAACGGTCACTTAAAAAATGTTCATGATGATCGAACGCTTGCATGATTTTTTTTTATATCAGTAGTTTTAGTGAGCTTCAAATTAGTACACCTTAATTCTAGTCTCTCTCCCTTTGCCTTAATTACCTCCCACATTTGTCACGAAAACCAATCAGCACTTCTGGAATCCTGGCGATGCGTTTAAACCCTGATATTAAACAGATTTTCCAAATATCGTTCCTTTGTACCTCTACTATGTTGTGAAAAATGTATCTTTCATTCACTCGAAAGAGATTTCAGCTTCCTCATTCTTCATAACATCCTGCATTTTCACGACCATAGCTGCTTGAAATCTAAAACGAATGAAATGTTTATACCTACTATCAATACAAGCGGACATTTGTACATTTAGTTTGATGCTAAATTTTACATTTCCGCTCCACACTGCTCAAACGGTTCCAAAACCAGTCTTAATTAGCCTCCTAAAATCTGAACTCATTTACAACAAACAACAAACTTACTTGGCACAAACCATTTTAAATTTATTTGTCATAGCCTTTTTCCACGTTGCACTGTTAAAAAGTACAAAAGCTATTCTTACGGAAAATTTTCGCAGCTACAACTTTGAATAGTATCGTTTTTAAGCCAAACATTGATAGTTTTTTTGAATAATATTCTAACTATGTTTTACAGCAATAAATGTTTTTCAAATTTTACACATTTCCATTTTCATTTCATAAGTGATGGTTTGAGTGGTTTTTCAAACAGGCAAAACATAAGAAAATTGTATTTTTAATATGTTTAGAAAATTTGTAACACACACTTTATTAAAACAATGTACAATATCAACGGAAATGCCCTAAGCTACAATATAGAACCAAATTCGGAATAAGTGCATAGAACAAATTTAATCATTATATTCTACTATCAAAGTTACCTGCATTTCAAAGATACCCCGTTATACGGTACTTTAAAACAAAAATACTTGAACATATATTCATGTTACTCATTGAGAATTACATGCATGTGAAATCCGTGCCAGTTACTCAAAATCACTTTGTAATGCATTGGTGGGAATGTATTTTTTTTTCCTTGAATTGTTTTCCGTCGATCTTGTTGTCCGTGCTGAGCACCAATGCTACCGACGCCAGAGAGGCAGCTCCCACACCTGGACCCTACCTATCGACCCATCAACTCATGAACCAGGGACCAACGGCTTTAGTTCCCTTACGAGCTCTGACCCAAACTTGTTCTGCCGATTGAACCACCTTCCAACAGGATTGTCGTATCGTGGAGCGAGGTTGTGCGCGATGAAAAAAAAAAGAGCTGCAGTACTTCTCGGTTACTCGAAAGTTTTCCACCGGTGAACCTGGTAATGGGCTGACTGATCAACCACTTCTCCGTATCACTTCTCAACTCCAAAGCACTATTGTATCCAGAGATGACAGCACAATATGTTTATAAACATTGAGATAAAAAAACATCTGGCAAAGCATACTATGAAATATGCCCTATAAGCATACCTGCTGTTCTGCTCAGATCAAGGTTTATCTGCAACCTAAGTTTCGAAAGTCAATTTCTGTTTTCTGGAGCATCAAATCGACTTGAACAAAATTGTTTATTATAGTTTAAAGTATAACATATTTTAATTTCATGCAAATCGGTTCATTAAGAAAAAAGTTAGAATGATTTTAGTGGGTCATCATTTTCTCCCATACTAATTTGACGAAAATCTCGAAAAATAGAAATCGTTGGCGCGACCTCTTAATGTTGACCAATTTAGCTGATTCGTTGCACAGATCTTTGTTTTTGTGTTATGAACTGAACTAGGGGGTGGCCTATCAAAAATATCAATCCTTTTCCAGAATGAAACATCCTAATGTTATACCTCAGAACATACCAGCGGCACCGACTGGGACACCACCGGCACCGTTAAGTGGGAATGTAATATCAATATAAAATTTGCAAATAATAATTTTACACATCTAGGGTAGAGCACTACTTTGGTCTAATCACTCATTTTGGGCCTATCGAACAGAAAACATCAAATAAATCCATTGTTTCAGAGTCAACAAGTCAATTATGCGTTTGGTACGATATTTTAGTTCAAACGCTATCGAACGAAGTCAATGAGAACGCGTGATATGAATGTTTACACCTATTTTGCTCAAATACAAAAGAAGCACTCCGACCGAATCAATTTTTATCTTCATCCGTGATGTTTGGGATTTGGGCCAAGTTTGGGGTCAAGAAGCAGTGTTAGATTTTTAACAATATCTCAACAATTTGTTTCTCTTTAGCTAATCTTACGGTACGTATGGAAATGTAAATAAAGTTTTAGCTCATCTGCATTGAAAACATTCCTTTTTGTATAAAAAAAATCTACTCGAAAAATAGCGGCAAAAGTGCTTATTAGGCCCAACATGAGACCAAATATATCGACTTATCTAATAGCCTTCCGACGTCCACATTACAGAAACTGTTCGTGTTGTGAAGACTTATTAAAGATTCTTACATCGACCGGTTGACTGAAGCTAGAGAATCACAAATTATAAAGTATAAGGTGTCCAGTTCTATTACGGATAATTTATATTTCAATCAAAACCTAGGCAAACATTTGTATAAACTATGATGCTGAAATAGTGTTCTAGAAAGATTTGATTTTATTTCTAAATGAAACTCCATTTCACCAACATTTTACATGAGTCTGATGCAGATAATACCCCATTCACATTACAGCCTATATCACGTAATATAGGCTGTCTTGCAATGAGCACTCATAAATAGGATTTCCAGTGAAAACTAGATGTATGAGTGCAAGACAGCGTATATCACGTGATATTCGCTGTAATGTGAACGGGGTATAAGTTGGAATACGTCATAAATGACGAAATTGCGTTCTTTTCCCCTAATTCAGTATCAAAATAAATTTTAAGTTTATTGTAATGTTTTGTAAGCTTGAGAATTTTGTGTTTCGAAGATTAGAATGCTTAATCTATCTAAGAAATCATCCCAATTGATTGAATTTATAGAGTAGTAGTAGTAGTTAAGAGTAAAGTTCCAATTTAGTTTTGATTCAGACATTCTAAGGAGTGTGAGGATTATTCTTAAAAGAAATTTGAGCAAAATTCTACAAAATTTTGTGAAAAATTTCCAAGAAGTTTTTAGGAAATTTCCACGGAAAATCTGAGGATGATTCTGACGAAACTCTGATACGAAACCATAGAAAACCT